AATCATAATATATTCTTGTTAATTTAAATGAATTGTTGTTATTTTACAAATATCACTTGTTAATTTGACATGAATAATTACAAATTAGAAGTTTCAAAACTTCACTCATTTTACTTGTTAAATGTCCCAATATATTGTTGTCAATCACAAATAGATTGTTATCAAAACCAAACAGGTACTTGTTAGTGAATGATCAACACATATAACTAAACCTAAAAAGTTTATTTCTCAAATAAAATGTCGCCAGCATCGGAGCTCCGACAATAGGGGCTCCAATAACCTCACCATCGACAGTGGCCTGATGGCCATTGACGATGGGGTTTTTTTTTTTTTAACTACTTAAGGGGCATTTCAGTCTTTTAACTTATGGAATTGATATGTCAAAAGGACTAGAGGGTTGCAGAGCTATTTTAAAATCATTTGGTCCTTATGGGTATAAATTTTATACAATGGTCCTTGAATGTTATTTTATTATCTCTATAATTAATCAGATACATGAGTTAATATATTTTACTTCTTAAATAAAGTTTAAAAAATTTAATAATATTATATACAACTTTATCAATAATTCAATTTTAAAAAGCAGTATCCTTTATGGTAGTTTGTATCGCTAAAATTGATTATGACTAAATCATCCAAACATTTTTAATTCTATTAAAATCACTTTAAAAAAATAATATTTAAATAGATTATGTCATAACATAATCAATTATACCCAATTAAAATTTAAACAACCTAATTTAAATTGCAACTTATATTTTAAATTTTAACAAAAAAAAAAATTTTTTTATTCTTCAATCATGTTAAAATTTAAAAAATAAGTTGTAAATTCATCACAACACAATTATAAAATTAAAAGATTGAATTATAAATTTTTTAAATTTAATACTTGAGATCTAATTTAAATTAATTGATCCTTTTGAAATCTTTTTGTCACAAGAAACAATTTAGAGACAGACCTTCGCCACAACCAAGCTTGACGCTCTTGAATGGAGTGTGAGAACGCAAGAACTGAAGCACAGTGGTTGACGGATCAACGCTTGAGAGCTCAAATCTCTCTCTATTCACTGCAAAAATCAAACTCTTTGTTCTTCTTCCTCCATCCTTCTCCTTCATTTCTCAGATGACCCCAGCAAAAGCTCAAAGATGAACAGTCTTCAATTCACAAAGCCCCACTCCCTTTGCTCACAGAAATGATAATGCTATCTGACACTCATTTATATCTCTCTATGTATGTTTGTTTGTCATTCTTTCTTTCTTTCTTTTTTCTTTTCTATGAAATTTTGTCCTTCTTTGTATCCCTATCTCTAAAGACGAAGCTTTATAATAGAGATGTATGAGACATGCAGGCATACATATGATCTCTCTATGAAGGAAAAATTACATATGGATGCTGTTGGATATTATAAATATTTTGAGTATTTCAAAAAAGAATTATTATAAATTAATAATACTTATTATTATTTAAATCTATTTATTATTTATAACATATAATTTAAATAACATTATTATTTGAAACTATTTTTTAATTGTGATTAAGGTGATTTTATTACCCAACATTATGAGATCTGCCTATAAAAGGCAATGCTTGCCACAGGTTTAGAGAGAATATTGGGACTCTTAGCCTTTCTCTCCTCTTCTATCATACTAGTTCATTGTACAGTTACCTGAGCATATTTTGTGACTTTATATTGTTCTGTGTCTCTACTTTTAGTAGAAAGAGTCTGTTTAATTCTGAAGAGCTATTGCGCGATCAACCTAATGTGGCGGAATAGCTCTTAAGGACAATATCCTTTGATATGACTCAGACTAGATTTCACCAACTATTGCCAGCAGATCCCACAGAAGGTAATTTGTTATCAAAAAGTTCCAGAAAATTTATAAAATACTCTTAAGTCTCAAATCTTATGCATTTATAATTTGAATAAGGATATTTACAATTGAAAACGATCATTTTGTGAATTTTATAAGACTTTTTAATAATAAATTATCTTATATGAGACCTAGATATATTTTTTTCCAAAATTTTATAAAAATGACTTAATAAATAAGTTTAAATAACTAACTAAGAAATTTAAAATATAAATAATATATATATATATATATATATATATTCATTTATTAACTTGTTTAGGATAACTTGACTGACTTTTGGATAACATTCAAGTTTAAACAGAGGTATTTTATTCCAACATGTGATTTAGTGGTCAATTTAGATTGATGGAAATGAATTCTAAACTGTAGAAAAATGGCTTGTATTTTGTGGTTGTCGATTATGGTGGAGGTTCACATAGTTTTAAAAAGGCTAAAATATCTAAAAATACCTCAACTTGCATCGTTTTCATCTAAGAGCCCTGATCTTTTAAAAGTTAAAAATTGACACCCTCACCTTTTAAATCACGACAAGCAGCACTTTACTGTCAAAGTCACTGTTAAATTTAATAGCAAATGCCACATCAGACTAAGGAGAAAAAGAAAAATACAATGGGGATGACATGGAATATTTAGCATTTTGGTAATTTTAATGTTGCTAAAAATGCATGGATTTTACTCAAGGATCATTTTGTCAATTAACATCCTCAAAATGAACCCTAGTTCCTCTTACCAAATGCCATCTTATCCCCAATAGCCAGGAATGTTGATTTGGTCTTTATATATATAAAAGAACGATTTGATCTTTTTCTTGCTAGAATTATTTAACACCACCAGCCGCGAATTCATTATTTTTCGTAGAGATATATGAAATTTGAAAAACCTGAAAGACGAAAGAAACAATGAACAAATGGGAGTTTGAAATGGCGCTTATATCCAATGCCCTCGGTGAGATTTTTTGGTCAAGATAATTTTATCTTATATTTAGAATTAAAAAATTTTTAAATTAAAATTTGTCCTATATTAAAGACAAGAAGAAATATCTACTACTGGCAGAGATGAATCCAGAATTCATTACGTCAAGGGTTATAATTGAAATTTTATCTAAATGTGAGGGTCATACTTAAAAATTTATCCACATGTAAGAACAAACAGTAATTTTTACATTTTTTTAAACAAAATTATATTTTTCTAAAACAAAATTTGGGGTGTGTGGAGGGTCGGGTTTGGAGGCCCTGTTTAAATAAAGGTTCGGGCTTTAAAAATAATTTTTTTTAAAGCAATTGGGCTTGAGAGCTTGACCTTAATAAATCCTGTAAAAAAGGGTTCAGGCTCAGGTAGCCCTTCAAGGCGGGTTATATTATTATTAATATTATTATTATTTTCTTTAGTGGAACAAGTATTTGAAACCAATAACCTGCTCACTTAATCTTACACACATTATATTATTATTAATTTTAATTTATTTTAAAATTAATTTAATATAATTTAATAAATATCGGTATATAGTATAAAATCTCTGATATTTTTTATTTTTTTATAATTATTATATTTGTGTATTTATAAAAAATAAATTGTTTTTTAATCAAGATTTAAATTTTATTATTAGACATCTAAATGTGTGTTGTTTAATTTTTAAAAAATTATGAGAATTTTATTTTTTTAATTTCAGAATATTTTAATTAATTTATAATGTTTAATTTTATTTTTATTATTTTTATTTTTTTGAAAAAGGGCTTGCAAGCCCAGCCCTGAGCCCTTCACATAAGGGCCAGGCTTGAGAAATGGAGTTTAAAATAGGAAATCGGGCTTTAGGGCTCAGGCCCTTAAGGGCCAGGCTCGCCCGTATTCCCAGCGCTGTGTGTGGGGGCGACAGCCTCTATTAGTAGCAACTACTACTCCCTCGGAACTATAATATAAGATATTTTTAAAAAATTTATTTGATTTAAAATATAGGATGTTAGATAATTTCTATATTTATTTTTTCAATTATACTTCTACTTTATTTATTAATTATTTTTTAAAAAAGCATGCTTTAAAATCTTAATTACTATTATCAAGATTCTTATATAAAGTATTTTAATAATGGCATAAATAAAAAATATTGATACTTGTCAAAATCTAAGGTTTTAACTATCATTATTTATAAATCATAGATTAGTTAATTATAACTTATATAATAGTTTGGATGGAGAATTTTACTATCAAACTAAAGGCATCCACTAACTAATTGCCACGTAAATGGCTTTTAATTTCATGCATGCAAGTAGTTTTTTTTTTTGCCCACTCGGTTCACTGGAGCTTCACCTCGACTATATTCGAATTTGACTTGAGTTGCACACTTGATTTTAGTGGGTGAATCTCTTAGCAAGAATTTTTTACATTAATAAAGCTTGAACTTAATATCTTGTTTAAATAAAATCAAGTAGCTTATCACTCAAACCAACTCCTGATTGGTACATACAAGTAGTAGTTGAACAGACGGTTTGGTGAGCATTGGCTTCACGCATAGTGCATCACCTATGAAATTCCAGAATGTTACACGGGCTTTGAATGATTTATCAAAAAGTGATAATAATTAAGATTTTAAAAACCGGATTGTGATGCATGCCTTGATTTTAATATTATATTAATAATAATTATATTAAAGAGCGGGAAGGATATGGAAAATGAGGGAGACAAAAATATTAATTTATTTCTTATTAATTCAAAATGTTTTCGTAAGAAACATTAAAATTAATATTATTAAGTGTTACTTAATGAGAAAGGATTGTCATCTTGGTGACTTGATTTTTTGCATTATGAGTAACTATGTAGAGAAATAGAAAAAAAATATTGTTTTTCTATTGATATTAGTTATGTATCAATAGGCTGATATAGATTAGTTAATCTGGTAGTTAGTTAGTTTCATTCTTGCATTCTTGGCTTATCTTGGGCTATAAAAGCTTCTGCCCCCTTTTGTATCAGCGTGCATTGATGTAAAACCCATTGGGTCAAGCAAAAGTGTATTATCCAATAAAACATTTTTTTCTTCATGGTACCAGAGCCTTAGCTCATGATCCGACTCGTTTTCTAGTCTGCTCGACCCAACTTTCATTTTTCTTCTTTAACTGAACCCTAGTTACCTTCCTTTTTCGCGATTCCTTATTCTCCTTACGACACAGCATCTTTTTCTTCCTCGCATACCCGAACGCATCAGATTCATCATCTACCTTCAATTTTTTAGGTAACAATGGAGTCGTCGGATCAAGAAAATCCAAAAGGATGTCTAGCAGCAGCGTCCACACCACTCTTGACTTCAGTCACCCTTTGTATCTCCATCCTTCTGAGACACAGGTGACTTCGCTTATGATTCAGCCTCTAATCGGAGCTACAAATTACGCAATATGGAGCCGTGCCATCAAGATGGCTCTTCGGGCAAGAAACAAGATAGGTATTGTTGATGGGTCCTGCAGACGAGAAGCCCAAGATCCGAGTCTTCATGGACAATGGGATCGCTGCAACGCTGTAATACTCTCATGGCTGATTAATTCTGTCTCAAAGGAGATTTTAGCCAGCATCACCTTCTCAGAGAGCGCAAATCTCGTACGGGAAGACCTTAAAGAATGCTTTAGCATCACCGATGGATCTAAAATTTATAGTCTACATTGTCTAATCAATTCACTCACTCAGGAATCAATAACAGTGTCGAGCTATTTTACACGATTGAAGGAATTATGGGAGGAATACTCTGCGGTTGTACCTTTGCCCAGCAGTAAGTGCGATTCCTCTCTTGAATATGCAAGAACCGTATAACAATAGAGGTTGTTTCAATTCCTTATGGGACTTAATTCATCCTATCAACATGTTCGGAGTCAAATCTTACTAATGAGCCCTCTCCCAACAGTAAATCAAGCTTACTTATTGGTTTGTCAAGAAGAAATGCAACGCAACTTGACTCAACCTCCTCACAACCTAAGCAATGAAGGTTCTGCCATGACTGCTAGAGGATATGGTAGATACAGTAGAGGATGAGGGTGAACAAACTCATCTGAGGAATGCACGTACTGTCATCGTCGAGGCCACAAAAGGAACAATTGCTACCAATTAGTGGGATTCCCATTAAGTTTTGGCCGAGGAAGAGGCACCCAAGATCGACAAATCAACCACACAAATGCCCCTATTAATCCAACTTCAATTCAACCACAAGAAAGTCAGCTTCTTTCCCAACAAGACTATGATAGCATTCTCAAGATGTTACGCAAAGACATTAAGCCTGCTCCTTCTGTTGGTGCTATAACCACAAATGACTCGAAAGACTCGTCAGGTTCGGCTTGCAATATCTTATCTCTCACACATTCAGCCACACATATTTCAAAAATGCATAAACCACATTGGCTATTAGATTCAGGAGCCACTGCACATGTAGTTAGTTCATTAAGTTTCTTTGACAAATTCACTGAGTATGCTGGGACCCCTATTAAGATACGTATTCCGAATGGAGAAAAACTGACAGTCACACATGTAGGATCCATTACGTTATTTAATGACATAACTCTAGAAAACGTACTTTATGCACCTGGAATTCATTATGATCTGATCTTTGTCTTACGCCTCACCTCAGAACACACTTGTGTTGTTGCTTTCTTTCCTGATGTATGTGTTTTACAAGACCTTTACAATGGAAACACCAAGACGATTGGTAAAATAGATTCTGGACTTTAAATTATAGAGGAGACTGATGTTTCTATTTGTAATTCCTCTGCTTCTAATAATGAACTTTGGCATCTTAGGTTAGGCCATGCTTCGTTTCATACTCTTAAGCATCTTAGTTCTTTAAAAGGTGAATTGTCTTCTGTTGACACTGATAAATGTGATGTCTGTCTACAAGCAAAACAACCTTGGTTGCCCTTTCCTGATAATAATAAATTTGCTGCTCACTGTTTTGATCTCATTCATATGGATGTGTGGGGTCCATATAGAGAACCCATACACCAAGGATATAGATATTTCTTGACTATTGTGGATGACATGTCACAAGGAACCTGGGCATATCTGTTAACCAATAAGTCTGAAGTTTTTTATTACATTACAATTTTCTTTGCATATGTACAGACTCAATTTTCCACCCATATCAAAAGAGTAAGAACAGACAATAGAACTGAATTTATTAATAATGATGTGTCGACTTATTTTCTGAATAATGGAATTGCTCATGAGACTTCTTGTCCTTATACACCTCAACAAAATAGGGTGGTTGAGAGAAAACATAGGCATATTTTAGAAGTTGCTAGGAGCCTCATGTTTCAAGCTAACATTCCTATTAATTTTGGGGAGAAAGTATTAGAACCGCTATTTATCTCATCAATAGGACACCTTCTAGAATGATCAACTATAAAACTCCATACGAATTACTATATTATAAACAACCTGACTTAAGACATTTAAGGATTTTTGGATGCTTAGCTTATGCAAAAAGGTTGAATAAAATGGACAAATTTCACCCTAGGTCTGAACCTTGCATTTTTTAGGATATCCTAATAATCAAAAGGGGTACCTCCTTTATAATATTATGGAAGATAAGATATTAGTCAGTAGAGAAGTTATTTTTCTTGAGAATAAATTACCTTACAAAGATGAGGCCCTAATGAATTTAAATCAAAAGGAAAAATCTTTAACTAAAGCATTGGATCCCTCTTTCTTTGATACTCCATTTGATAAATATCAAGCTATTGATTATGTTCCTAAAACTCCTGATATTGTTTTAGATACTTCCTCCCCTGGCTCTGTTAACAATAATGATATGCAAACCCAGTCTGATTCATATGATTCTGGGCTACAAACTGATAGTTTTAATGAGTCTGTGATTCCTAATAATTCAAGGTTGGAGTCTCATACTGAAACATCAACACCATCACGACCTGTTAGGCATAGAAAACAACCAACTTGGCTTAGAGATTATGATTGCACAGAGTTAGCTCATCTGAATAGTGTTGAGGCTAAAAACAAGAGGAAAATTCTATATCCTATTCAACATAGTATTTGTTACACCAATATATCATCCTCTTATAAAGATTTTTTAATATGCATGAATGAGATCATAGAACCAAACACTTTTGAAGAGGCAGCCACAGACAGTCGGTGGATAGAGGCAATGAAGAATGAGATAGATGCCTTAGAGAGGAACAAAACTTGGAAAATAGTTGATCTCCCTGTTGGTAAGAAAGCCATAGGATATCGATGGGTTTTTAAAAAGAAATATAATGTTGATGGCACCTTGAATAAGTTAAAGGCTAGGTTAGTTGCAAAAGGATATAATCAAATTAAAGGAGTTGATTACTTTGATACTTTTTCTCCTGTAGTTAAGATGACCATTGTAAGGACTGTTTTATCTTTGGCTGTTAAAAATAAATGAAATATGTGTCAAATGGATGTAGATAATGCATTTTTACAAGGGGACTTAAATAAAGAAGTCTTTATGAAAATACCGCAAGGTTTTGCTAAAAATGGAGAGAAAAAGGTTTGTAAACTTACCAAGTCTTTATATGGCCTAAAACAAGCTTCAAGACAGTGGAATTTAAAGCTGTCTGAGTCTTTAGTTGCAGGAGGTTTTATTCAAAGCAAACATGACTACTCCTTGTTTTCTAAGCAAAAGGGTAATGATTTAGTTTTAATTTTGGCCTATATGGATGATTTACTTATTACTGGAAATTCAAATTCTTTTATCCAGGAAACAAAAGATTATCTTCATAGTAATTTCAAAATGAAAGATTTAGGTCCTCTAAAATATTTCTTAGGACTAGAAATAGCTAAATCTGAGAAAGGAGTTGTCTTAAACCAAAGAAAATATGCATTAGATCTAATTTTTAGTATTGGGTTGAGTGCTGCCAGACCAAGAAATGTTCCTATGGCTCAAGGTTTAAAGTTGTACAGTGAACCTATGAAGGGGGAGAAAGACCTTCTTTTGCCTGATGCAACCAAATATAGAAGATTAATTGATAAAATGTTGTATTTGACTATGACCCGTCCAGATTTGAGTTTTACTGTGCAGGTGTTAAGTCAATACATGAGTAGTCCCAGAAAGTCGCATATGAAGGCAGCAATAAATGCAATTAAATACCTAAAGAAAGATTCTGGTAGAGGCATATTCTTTCCTTCAAGTGGAGGGACGGTGCTTGAAGGATATTAAGATTCTGATTAGGGGGCTTGTGTAGACACTCGAAGATCTGTTACAGGGTATATCATTAAGATGGGAGGAGCACCAGTTGTATGGAAGTCAAAGAAACAAACAACAGTTTCACGTTCCTCAGCAGAAGCTGAATATAGGGCTTTAGGAAGTACTGTTTCAGAGATTACATGGCTAGTTGGTTTGCTGAAGGACCTAAAGGTTGAGAGTCCTTTCCTTGTTCTAGTGCATTGTGATAGCAAAGCAGCAATTCAGATTGCTTCGAATCCAGTGTTTCATGAACGGACGAAGCATATTGAAATTGATTGCCATTTTGTTCGTGAAAAGCTTTAGGAATGAGTGATCAGTTTACGCCATGTGCCTTCTTCAGATCAACAGGCAGATATTTTTACTAAAGCTTTAAGTAAATCGGGTCATGAGAGAATGTTAGACGAGTTAGGAACCATAAATATTTTTAGTTCTAACTTGAGGGGGAGTGTAGAGAAATAGAAAAAAAAAATTGTTTTTCTATTGATATTAGTTATGTATCAATAAGCTGATATGGATTAGTTAATCTGGTAGTTAGTTAGTTTCATTCTTGCATTCTTGGCTAATTATCCTGAGCTATAAAAGCTTCTGCCCCCTTTTGTATCAGCGTGCATTGATGTAAAACCCATTGGGTCAAGCAAAAGTGTATTATCCAATAAAACATTTTTTTCTTCAAACTAATTCCTCCCTTTAATTCCAATTCTCATTTATTTGTCCAGTAAGATTTTTAAACATTGATAACAATAACAATAGATGTTAAATCAAAAATTCCATTTTGTTGATTTTCAGCAATCTGTATTGAAATATAGTTTACAATATTTCTGTTTATTTTAAAGTTTTTTAAAGTTATAAAATGTTATTGCTATTGTTCTATCAGGAGCTAGTGTCCTATTGATTGTTAGAAAACACACTACTCTTTATTAGATATGTGATGCTCTAAAGGAACTACATCACATTCGTTGAAAGATAAAGTGTCTGGATTGACAAGATCAAGTGTTGAAGTAATTGCAACCTGTTGAATTGGTTGAAGTTTGAGAGGTCTTAGTGTATGTGTTGTGGCTTCTTTCTAGAGCCAGAAATTTTAGCAGGCCAAGCTAATTTAAGTTGAGCTCACCAATTTAAGTAAGACTTATTTAAATTGAGCTTAAAATACTTGAAAATATAAACAACTTATATAATCAAACCTGACCTTGTTCTTGGGTTTCAAGCTTATCCAAGGTCACCCAAATTGGCAATTTTTTATTTTTAAAACAAATTTCAATTTTTAATTTTAAATTAATTCTTTTTATTATTATAAAAATATAAAATACACATTTGGAATAGTAAAAAAATTAGAATACTTCCACTTCTAGAAGGATGACCACGTCTCTATAAAATTGGAATACTTAAAAAATTAGAATCCTTCAAAAAGATGTTTAGGATGATCAAGTCTCTTCATTAATTACCTCCCTTCTACAAACTTAAAGTGAGACTTGGACCAAAATTAGACTTTAGCCAAATAATTGGGCTTAGAAAAAAAACATTACATTTTAACCTGAACAATAGCTAATTAATATTTCAAATGCCACAACAACGTTGTGCTTATAATTTTATAAACATGAGTGCTTATTCTGCTCTTACGGTTAATTTTGGCTGCTAATTAATTTAAAAAATTATGAAAATGAACTTATTATAGATGACCAAAAAATAAAATTTATAATTTTTGAGTCTTTTTATGTGATTTTTTTGGTTCTTTATATAAACAAAAATAAAAGGTTATGCAATTAGAGAAATTTGTAATTACAGAAAAGGTTTTAATCATTTAATGTCATGTAATACAAATAAAAATACTACGTGCATGACCATTTAAAATGTTAAAAATTAAGGATTAAAGGGTGAAAATATTCATTAACTTTTTCTCTAAGGGCATTCATTACTTTTAGGTGAATAAATGTGTAAGAATAACTATAAACTTGTTATAATGAGTGAACAATCCTCATTGTATTAAATTTGACTAATGTCTATTAACATTGATCATTAAAAAAATGAAGCAAATATAAGTGCAAAAAATACCTATAAATTTTTTTTAGGAACTTTGCATATCTTAAAGTTAACAATGGTGCATGGGTATTCATTAATTTTATAAGATAAACCAACATTTCCTAGTGTATTAAGTACTATTCTTAGAACTTTGCAATTAATGTTTAGTTATTTTAACATATTGAGGAATTTTATAGCCGCCCTTGAGTGTTCTAAAATATTTTTTTTTACTCCAAGCTTATTCTGGGTGCTTTGAAAAAATATGAATCAAATGCAAATCTAAATGGGTTTAATCCAAATAATTGAATTATTTTTTATTATTAATAAAATAAAATTAAAATAAGATAAAAATTGAAAATTAAAGTTGAATAAATAAAAAAATAAAATAATATTTAACAATTTGAGTATTTGGGCCAACTCAAATAAGATCAAAAGCTTGAGTTGTTAGGGCTAAACTTGACTATATAATTTTTTTATAAAATTAATTGATATTTATATATATATATATATATTATTGACATAAGAATATAAGAAGTTATTAAAAAAAAGGTTTTTGAATATTGTCACCTTATGTTTGATTTTTTTAATTGTCAATATTAACAAACGTACAAGTTCATCACAATTTTTATTTCTTTTTTTAATGTAAAGATAATGGATGCTCTTAAAGAAAAAATATGAGACATTTTTGTTCCCTTTAAGTTTTTTTTTTTTTTTTTAACCAGTAACCTCTTAAAGTTCGATATGGATGCGAACTTTACTACACAAGGAAAACAATACGTGTACGAATTAAGTGGTGTCACTGCATATGGGACCTGCCAATCTGATATCGATGCCAGCTTACAACAATACAAAATATTTTGAAGAGCTTGTTTGATAATTTATTTTAAAAATAATTTTTTATTTTTAAAATAAAAAAATAAAAAAATTTATTTCATAATGTGTTTTTAAAAATTATTTTAAAAAATAAAAAATAAAATATTATTTTAAAAAATAAAAATAAAAATAATTTTTAAGTGTTTTGAAATTATTGTTCTAAAAAATAAATATTTTTTTAAAAAAATATTTTATAAAATATTAATTTTTATAATAATAAAATAAAATAATTTTAAACAGACCTTATTTTTTGATACCAACTTTACAACGAAGCAGGAGTTTTATTTTTTTTTTTTTTTAACCGAAAGAAGGATTAAACAGTTAGTACATAAATGTAACTGCTTATCCTATCCTCACCCACTGTGCGCGTGATGGTTGGCTGGTGGGGCCAATTTTATGTAAACAAATAAATAAAAATGTTAATGAGCAAATAGATTATAAATTTTTTGCTTGAAAAACATTCTAAGTTTTTAATTCTTAAAATGTGTAAAATAGATATTAAATTTTTAATTTTGTAGCATATTAAACCCTGACATTAATTTTTTAATGCTATTATTGTTCACCGTGGGCCTCAATTAATTAATGCCACAGACCTTAAACTATTATATAAATAGCATCTTGAATCTTGAATTTTAAAATTTCGAGTAAATTACCCCCTCATTTATATATAAAATGTTGATTATTATGTAAATTAAATTAGCTTTAGTATGGTCTATCATGTTGAATGCATTATTGGCTATGGTGAACAACCTATAATTTATAAAATGATATTTTTTGTTTTTTTTAATATTTTCCAAACAATTGATATTTCATATTTTCATATACTCTATAACTCTGATTTAGTCTTATTTTAAATAATATTTTTATTTAATGGTAAAAAATTAAAATCTCATTGAAAAAAATTAAATATCAAAAACTTTTAATTAACTGCTTATTTTAAATTTTAAATTTATCAATAAAATTGTTGACTTTTGCATTTATGCCTGTAATAATGTTACATCTCTGTTCATGTTTTGAAATTCTCCTTATGTATAATGTCTCAACTGCTACATAAAACACCAAATTTACAAGCAGCAAAGAAAAAGGAGTACTCCCTATAATATCTTCGATTATCCAGCTACATTAATATCCGAAGATATGAAATTATTTTGAAAACACCAGAGGGGAGCAAACAATTTTTTTTTCCAAAATATATAATTTAAAATAAAACGAAAATATGACACACATAAAACTTCGAAAAACCAGTACACATTTCCTCCTCATCCAAACATGAAATCCACACCAATCTATTTCCGAAGATGTTGAGAACCTTCACACATTTTGCCCATTTTCCATTTCAAGTATGTTTCCACAATGTCCAATCCACAAAATTCCTTCACCACAGGCATGGTTGCTGGCACATCCAATTGGAATGGTTTATCAATTTCATCTGAGTTTCTCCATGAATGATGCTGTTTTCTAGCCTCCTTGATAGCTCCTCTAATAGCGCAGTGAACCGTAGTTGCTAGAAGTAGTGGTGGCTCACCGGAAGCTGCAAAAACAAAATTTGAAGTATCATTTAGCATAAGAATTCTCATGCTAGTATATTGGTGAAATGATCCAGACATGTCCAGGAGTATACACAGAGGAGGACGATATTGTGTTCACTTGAACAAGCAAAGGAAAAAAAAAAAAAACTTGAAGAGAAGCTTGACCCACGCCTTGCTTTATTTATTAAATTCTTGAGGAGAGTTTAGTAACAAAGCAATTTGATAAACGCACTATTCAATCTTGACAATAAAACTAGAGAATAGTTGTAAGGGATAACTAAAATATTTAGGGAGAATTACAGTTAAGTCCCACATGGGGGAATTAATTATCGCAAGGTCCATTGACAACTGAACTAAACTACATTGATAACTGAATTAAACTGTATTAACAACTAACCTATCATTGGATCTTGCAATAATTAATTCTCTCATGTGAGACCTAACTGTAATTCTCTTTAAAAGATATTAGGCAAATGCGTGGCTCAAGTTAAACATTTATAATCAGTTCTTCTGGTCTCACCTTTGGATAGAGATGCATCGATTTCTCTGAACATTTATAAGGAGGTTCTCTCCTTGCCAGGCCACTTTACAATATGCACCATCAAATGTTTAGTAACTAGAGACTTCATATCTTCTATGGAATTATGGTGTTCGATTAATCTTAATATATATACTTGTTCTGAGAATTATTGATTCATTTAACAAAATGATGACTGACAACTTGAACTCAGATTTTTTCAGTTGAGAATCTATGAAGCTAATGAATTTGAACATCAACAAATATTTGAACTACTAAAAAGGCATACCCTTTGAAGAGAGAACACGATGCTTGTGATATCCACTATTGACAATTTCAACATTGAGCTGTTTAGGTATAGTGTCTAATGAAGGGATTTTGTAATTCCATGTTCCATCTTGCAAGACTAATCCTTCATGATTTGTTTCATATTCTTCAAGCATGAAAAAACCCTAATCCTTGCATAAATGATCCTTCAATCTGCAACAAGCATAAATGATTGTGTCAAATTGAGCAATTTCAAAATCTAATAACTTTCAATTTTATCAGCATAAGAAAAACTCATAATCTGGCATATATCTAAGTTTGTTTTCTTATACTGGTCCCTCAACTTCTAAATGACATGTGCATCATGCATTTGCCCAAAGCCCAAAATTAACTTCATTTCTCACTAGTGTACATTGTTAACTTTCTATATTTATATATCATTAACTAGTAGAACTAAACTAATTATAACTATACTTATGGAATAAAAAATGCTAATTTAGTCCACGAATGAGATAGTTGGACAATTGAACACTATAATTTAACTAAACTAGTAGAACTGAACTAATAATGGGAAATTGCAATTTTTGGAAGACAGATAGTTTAGTTCAAAATAAACTCATTTGGTCTTTTGTTTAAATAGCATTTCACTTAGTACAAATGTATCTTGACATGAAAAAAGTAAATAAATTTTAGTGAATGCATTTAATTTTTTAAAAAATATAAGCTATTTAATATTTCTTTTTAACTTGACATGTTTCCATGCATAATATTGAGTCTGAGATGAGTTGCATTGTTTATAGTTTAAATAGTGTGGCATATTTATAGATTTTAAACAATCTTTAATTGAATGATTTTTGTACACTAGTTTAAATGAAAATTATATAATTGAAATAGAGAGTATAGTGAATAGAATTATTAGCTGACCTACCTGTCCTAAATCTACAGCAGGGTTGAGACTCTTTCCACAATCATATATAATATCCGTTTGCAAAACAATCGTTTCTCCTGTTATAAGATCTATTTCCACCTGCAGAATATTCTTTGACCATTAGCTAACAATTATTGATGATATGATGCAACAATATGACTTTGACTTTTCCCATAATTTCAAATACATTTGAGAAAGATAACCATTCATGAGCTTTGAAAAATGCCTTTTCTCTGAATAAGAAATTGGATAAGAAATAAACTTACCTCGCTCACTGCAACACCATAATTGAGGTAACTGTTGGTGGTATTGCCAGGGTTATAAAATGAAGTTGCTGATAAGTTCACAGCTTGGGAGTGTGCCTGCAGAAGGACACATTGTTGTTGATTACATGGTAGTTAGATAATGTTCTTGGAATTTGTATAGCTTTTGAAAATGAAAATAAGTCTTATATAAATTCCGTGGAAGCCATGAGACTCATAAATAAGTGATTAAGGGATTGGGTTGTTACTATAGTGCACGCTTCTCTATAACATGAAGAATTTATTTATTTCCTTCATAGCATGCATAAAAGCGTAGTCTAAACAAACTTAGCAATGTAAAGAATATATGGACAGTTAACACATGCATGTCAAAAAGCTCCTCTGCACATTATTGTCAAAATATCAAGTGGGTGAAAAAAGGATGATTTGACCTTTCCAAAACACACACACCTGGGAAATAAGTGTCTCCCAATTGACAGAACCCATTTCCTTCTGCAACTTTTCGTTGAAAGGCATTAATCTCCCAACCAAGACATTGCAACTAAGCCTAACTGCTTCACAGCTTGACTCTGATGTAGTACTACCGGCAGAATATCCTCCTTGAATCATGCTCAATGAATCAGATTGTATGACACGTATTTTATCCAAGAGGTCTTGCGATCCCTCACATTGGATTGAACTAAGAGCATATGCAGCCATTTGCTTCACCTTTGTCCACAGACCTTGACCTACTTCAATCCCTCCAACTTCAACAACAATAGACCCATCCTTTAAAATACTTGTTCTTCCTGGTGACGGCCTTCCACTTAGTTCATACACAACAGGCACACGAGATATACCTCTCTTTTTCCAAATGTTATTCCTATTGAACTCTTTCACAGTTTCTCTCCTCTGGTCATACCTTGCAGAAACAGCTAATTTATTCCATATAGAAACTAGGTTATATTCAAGAGGTTCACCTGCAGCATCGTTGTAAAAAGTGCAAAGACTTTTGTATGTGTGGAAATTAATGCTTCTCACAGAATCTACATCTATTGAAAGTGTAGATGCCACATGTTCTATTATGGCTTCAGCAATATATGATCCTTCAACATCCCCAGGGGCTCTCATTATAGATCTACTAGGAAGATTAGTCTTGCATATTTTTATATCAAAAGACAGAGCACCCCAATCATACTTTTTAAGCGCATTAACTATGGTAGTTGGAACATATGCATATAGATCAGGATATATCCCTTGATCTATCAGTATCTTGAGTTCTAAAGCAGTGATCTTTCCATTACTTTTAAATCCAACATTGTATGTTATCTTCATAGGATGCCTTCCTCCAGCCATTATCATGTCCGTCTTACGATTCATATACATTCTGACAGGGCGTCGTAATTTATGCGCTGCAAGTGCACATGTCGTAGCAATCTGAAAGATTTAATTGTAAGTACTTACACTAAACAATCATGAGCACTATTCATATAATATCCATTTTCTTGTGCTGAACTACTGATACAATTCTATTGTAACCTGATATGTTAGAATTATTTTTCTTTAAAAAAAATATCTTCCATCTCTTTCTACATCATGCACAATTTCTAGTTAGTTGTTATAAAGAAAATCATATATTTTGCCAGCTTTTAACAATGAAACATATGATTGGGATGAACATATTTTGGATATATATATATACATATAATTATAATGTAGAAAGAACATAAAAAATAATGATATAAAATCAGATACTTACAGGAAAGGCTTTTGTGAACTTTCCACCATAACCACCACCAACCCTTCTTGTGATTACACGAACATTATGCTCACGAATATTTAGGCATTTTGCAATGACAGACTGTGCATACTCTGGCCCTTGACATGAAGTGTAAACTACTAAGCAATTGTCTTCATCTGGTATAGCAAGTGCAGTTTGTGTCTTCATGTAGAAATAGTATTGGGACCCAAGTTTAATCTAGATTTTAAATTATTCAAAGAAATTAATACCCAAAAATTTTCAAAATATTCAAAATATGGACACCAAAGATAAATATATTCCATGCACCTCAGCAGAAAGGATCTTGTGATCTGCTTCTGTCATTCCTTCTGATATATCACCAACTTCTTGTGGATATGACGTAGAAGGAATTTCAAAAAGACTAGATCTTTCAACAGCCTCTTCCATGGATAGAATAGGTGGTTCGAGATTCTTGAAATCATACTCAACAACTGTAGAGTTTGCAGCCATATCTGCTAGTTTCTGAGTATCCGCAACCTAAAGAAATTCATGAAGCAATAATAAGTAAAACAGTATACTCCCTCCGGTCCTTTTTAGAAGTTTTTTTATTGTCAAAACTATTTAGAAGTTATATCATTAAAATTTTATCACAATTTTTTTCATTTACCCTCCATTTAATGCTGGTGAGAGAGAAAACATGTTATTAAATTATGTATATTAAATAAAGAAAATTTGAAAACTTATTAAAATTTTAGATAGAATTAATGAAACCTCTCTCTTGATACAAAGAGTTCTAGGTTCTATCTCCCGTAGGTCCAAAAATGGGTGGTGATTAAAAATTTGTTAGGTTAGGCGGGTCATTGTGTAGGTTGTGTAATGATCCTAAATTTAAAAAAATAAATAAATATATAAATTAATAATTTTTTTAAGTGATATTTTATTTAAATTAATTTTATAGCAAGTGGAGAGAGATAACTTAATAAAATTATGTTAATGACTTCCTTAAAGCTTTAGAGTTTGAATTCTATTCGGTAAAAAATTGATTTTTTATTTTATTTTAAATTATAGTAAAATTTTATGTCTTTTCTTGTAATTTTCATCGTGCCTGTTTTGTAATTTTTTTCAATTAAGTATTAGTGTCAGATTTTTTGTTCCTGCACCGCCATTCGAAAGTCGGAAGGTAATGAAAGGGTAAGAAATTACACATGTGCCCTTGTTTCCATGGTAACTCAACAAAAATATCTAAGGAGGTTATTGTAATTTTCCTTTTCATGATTTAAAAAATTTGCCTTCCCTTTCTCGGTCAGCATCGGAGAGAAAAAAGCAGTTCTTTGATTTTCTTTCCTTCTTCATCTTCCTCCGTCTTCGGCGTCATCAAGTGAGAGTGTGCCAGAGCTTCATCCGTCACTGCTTGTCAGATCATCAACGTCCTTCTCCTTCCTCTGTGCGAGTGATGATGTGAATGTTCAAGTCTCTCTCTTCCCTTTCATTTTCCTTACCGTTCGTCGCTGCTGAAGACCATGGAAGCTCTGTTGAAGCTCTTCCTCTGTTAGCATTTAAGACTCTTCTTCCTTCTCGCCGTCCGCTGCTGGTGACTGGAGAAAAACACTGAAACCCCTTCCTTTGACAGTGCTGTGGCGCGCGTTCTCATTGGGCTTCTTCCTCCCCTGTTTTTCTTTATTGTGAACTCCTCTCCTCTCCTCCCTCTGTTCGAGCTGCTGTGACAGGTTGAGCTCCAGGTTTTTTTTTCCTCGTCTCCTTTCAAATTTGATGTGTCATCTCTCTTTTCTATTGTGTTTTAGCTTGGATTCAAACATTCCTCTCCTTTTTGCTGCTCTGTTCTGTTGTTTCTATTGAGGCGAGGAACCACGATTTCCTATTTTCGTTGAAAAAAAAAAAAAAAATCTTTGCGTGTAAGTGTAAGATGTGATAGAATTGAAGTTGCCAATTTTCTCTTGAATTTCGGCTGCTGCTGTTCGTGACTGTTGAGAAAAAGAGAGAGAAGGAGAGAAGAGTTTAAGCTGAAACTTTTGTGCTGAGAGCAAGATTATGATAAATATAGGTTAGAATTTTTGAGTTAAATTGGTTGATGTTAAAGAATTAGTTAAGATAAGATTTGGATAGAAGAACTTAAACTTGAATCTTGTTGAATGGTGCCCATGAGATGCTTGATAAAATGACTAGCGAGATGGATTTGCTTGATTGTGTATTTTATAAAATTTCGTTGAATTCCTTGAGAGATCTAAGTGGGTTGGATGCTGTTGACTTGTGAATTGAGTTTGGTATTTTATAGAAATTTGCTCACAAATATAATGTAGATATAAGAAATTGTTCGACAAAATATTTGAATGTTCAAAAGCCTTATGGAGGGATTTGGAATTTATGTGCATTTGGTGTTTTAGTAAAAAGTTATAAATATGGAAGACACTTATTTTTCACAGTGGAAGATTTGAAATTAGAGATTTTAGAAAAAGGGACTTTGTTGGTAATTCAAGACTAAATTATTTATATATATTCATCTTTGAAATATTGTGAAGTGTTTGGTGTGATGTCTGAGGAAGTTTGAAGTTGAAGGTTTTATCTTTTATTTTTAATCATTTTTGGACTGAAGATTTTGAATGATCAATCATGTATAAGAAAATGATAATGATATTAATTGGATATTAGGAACTTAGAGATCAAGCATTGACGCAAGAGTGCCAAGTAGAAGTAAGTTTTACGTTTGAGAACTTGTCAGGTAAGTGGATAGCGTCCCAACTGATTTTTTTTTTTAAATTTTCTTTACTAAAATATTCCATTTTTCTGGAAATCATTTTAATAGCATTAATGTGATTATTGAATATTTGTTGATTAACATTACTTTATTTTGAGAAATTAGCTTTACCAAATTTGAAATGTTATTTGACCAATTAAATCAAGTTTGAACTTTGATTATGAGATTTTTATTTTATCAAATATTGGAATGATACAGAGAATGACTCATGCGAGTTTGAAGTTGAATTTTTTTTTCAATAAATACAAGCACGAGCATTGGATATGAAATTTGATTTTGGAAAGTTTTAATGCTTAAAAGTATTCATGCGAGTTTGATTTTGAGAATGGGAACTGTGTTTTGAAAGTGATGATTTCCTCGCATGTTTGAAAATGGTTTTAAAAGGGGACTTTGTACAGAACACTGATTGCTAACGGCAGTTCCGTTAGCCCTTGGCGCGCCATGGTACACCTAGCTAGCAGGGTGTTTATAGGAGGTGCTAGTCCCGTGCGATGGCCAACGCACGTGGAACGGAGGGGTGGTTATTCGTGAGCATCGTACTCACGTTTGTTTCGTGGCTTTAAGCCGCGTTTGGTTAGCATGACTCTCGTGGACTGTGTGTTTACGTTTGTTTCGTGGCTTCGGCCACGTTTGATTACTTACCCTCGTGGACTGTGTGTCCACGTTTGTTTTCGTGGCATAAGCCGCGTTTGGTTAGTTACCCTCGTGGATTGTGTATCCACGTTTGTTAATTGTTCTGATAAGTCCCTATATTTATGAATCCAATCGTTTGAAGATTTCATATTCTATTGGTTTTTATTTAGTAATTTGTTTATAAATATATATTTCATTTATGTGCTTTCTTGAAATCAAGTAATATTATCATTTCTATGATAGTTCAATGATTTGAGATTTTATTGAAAATTCATAGAGCCATTTTATTACGAAGTTTATAGAATTTTTACGAAAACTTTGTCCATTTAACTTACAAAATTATTTCAAACTTTTATTTTATTTATGTTCTATTATTCTTTGTTGGGACGTTATTCACTGGAAAAGATATTTTGATCTCAGATGGTATGGTTGAACTCGTGACTCGAGATATCCACTGAGGAGTGTTATTGCTGAATTGAAGCTGAAGAATTATTTTTGTCAAATCCTAAATTGATGAAAAAATTTGAACTTTATACCTACGTTGGTGTCTGGCCTTAGATGCTCCACGTAGACTACAGGTAGGATCCTTACATTTCTTTTAAGATTAGATATCTGATTTAATATTGTAATAATTTCTAACTACTCTATTAGTGTGTTTAACGTATTAATTTTAGAGTTTCTCCGATCACGGCTTAAGGGATATGAGTGTTGTGCCCATATCCCGTGCCGATCACACCTAATTTTTGGGGTGTGACAGGTTGTGTGCCGTGTGCTGGGTGGTGAGTGAGTGATGGATGTGTGTGGGATCCCCCTTCCCTCTAGGGAAGGTTTAGAGAGGTTTGATACAAAAAAAGTATAGAATTAATGAGTTTTAAAATTTTCTTTAATTTTCTTAAAACATATTAGAAATAACGTATAAACAAGATCAAAAAACTATCTTCCTTTCAGCGGTTGAAGTGTAATGATTATAGATTTGCAATGCATTGTATGTCCCATAATCGGTCCCATTCTTCTACCCTTTACAAGGAGTTGATGACTATTCATATAGCTATTATCTTAACACCAAAAAAGAGGAAAAATGAGGGAGTCATGCACCTACCACAAAGGCAACACGATCACCAAAACATTTAACAATCTCTTCTGCAAATAAAGGTTCACCAACACCGTACGGAGACACAGAACCAGCATTTTCCCCACCATCAGGAATGTCTTTACTTGAAATGATTGCCCTCACTCCATCTTGTTGCTGGAGCTTTATGCTTTTTACCCTTGCTAGAGGTTTAGTACTATAAATATATGCTCCATGTAGGCAATTTGTTGGTGAAGGAATATCATCCACAAACACAGCCTCACCTATGATTTAATTGTAAAATATGTACTTCTTAATAAAATCATATTCTAACACATACTGTTAAGAGACATCAAAAATGAGAAAAATGAGCTTAGTCTACTAGATAAAGACTAGATGAAGCATTGAAGGTGAACTATACGTCTGTAGGAACCAAGAATGTGTATGCAAAAGTTCCTTCCAATAAGAAGTCTAGGAAACATGAATCACTAGCGGTATTCTATACTTCAAATAAATGATAACTAATTAAAGAATTCATATGAATATTGGTTCAAACTAAGAGATCAAATTGAGATGTTTAAAACATTAATTAGTTTTACTTGTAGCTGAATCATGTAATCAATGATATATCGTGTTTAAAATTGCATGCTGCAAGAAGTCCTGGAATGAAAATATATTTTTACTGTGATGAAATGGTTAGGGGTCAAAGATAGAATAGAAGTTTTTGCAAAAGGAAATGAATAATTTTTTGTTAAAACATTTCTTTTTACTTTCAAATGCCATGAATATGGGAGGAAAAGAGGTTGTCCGATGATTTTCTAACTTCAATGTACTAAGCAAACCTGAAGCCTGTAACGTTGCCCCTGATTTTATTATTGGCTCGCCAATAGGGTGATGCTCCTCATCGACTTGAATCTCTTGCTTTCCAGATGATAGATAAGTAGGAGATTTATCATGATGAACTGGCCCCTTATTCTCTTCTATGTTAAAAGCCCTAATGATTGACGAACTAGTGTATGAATTTGAGTGACAACCTAATTTTTCATCGGAATGATCAATCAAAGGGCTCAAGAACTTATAGAGAAAACCAGCCGCCAAGCTTAATCGATAAGCGGTGCTTGAAGTTCCTTCTTCAGGTACAACGACAGTTGGAAGCAAGTTAATAGCTTCATATACAATACTGGCACTTAATATCCTTCCTACCAGTAGCTCCTCAACTTTGCTTGCTCTTATTGCATGTTTTGTACCATAAGCTCCAAAACAAAGCCTGCAATTATCTATCACACTCTCTTCGGAATCTTTTCCTGGAGAAACCTCAACCAAGAAAGCTGCGTTCAAATAAGACAGCGCATTTCCAAGCGGTCGAGGAGCAGCTCGAAAAGTTTCAAAGAGAATTTTCCTCGTGTGCTTTTTAGGATTACTTTTATTGGATTCCCAACTTGGAATTTTAATACTTAAAATCACACTTTCCAATCCTATTGGCGGCCTTTCCAGAAATTCTTGCAGTGGAAGCCATTCAAATTTTATACCATTCAGTATATGAACCATTGTGTCCACAGCAAGGAGTATTGTTGCTAAATCAGAAGGAAAATGATTCTTCTGTGCCATCACCAGATTGCCACCTACACTGGCTGTGTTCCTTATAAACCCTGAGGCTATTTTGCTCATGTGATCAGCAAGTTTTTCAAGTATCATATCAAAGTCCGAGAGAGGGTCACATTTTCTCTTTGGCTTTAAAGCTTCAATAGCCTTGAATATAGTCACGGTTGCTCCAATTTCGATCCCTGTCAGATCCCTTTTTATCTTTGAGAGCTCAGAAATTCCCTTCAGATTAATATATTTGTCATAGCTTCCTGTATCTTTGTAATAACCCATTCCTGTATTACTGACAACAAGCTTTATCTTGGTTCCAACATGATTGTTTGATTCCAATAAGCCTTGGAGCTCCTTTAGGCTTGTGGGGCTGAGCCAACTATGTCTTTCAGAAGACATGAACAGATCAGGGTTGATCTCCTTCAAAAATTCAGGATATTTACTCTTTTTGTGGTGACGATCATATTTAGGCAACCTACTTATCTTCAAATCATCACTTTCTCCTTTTCTCCAAAAAGAGTTTAACCCTAGATCCTCTAAATCAACATCAGCACCAAAACTCTTGCAAGCATCAGAAAGTGGTCGATATCCAGTACAACGACAAAGATTTCCAGCAATGGCCCTCTCAGCCTCAACAGCTGTGGCTTTTGAGAACACTGAAAGAGGCTCAGGACGATGTGTTTTGTCAGCATTGACAAGAGTTCCATAAAGAGAGACACACATTCCAGGAGTGCAAAATCCACATTGAGAAGCATGGAACCCTGCAATTCTTTCATGAATCGGATGGAAGCCATCTTTACTGTTTCCAAGACCTTCACTTGTAGTTATGGAACATCCATGTACGCTGCAGAGTAGCGTCAGACAAGAAACTTGCTGTGAAATCCTCAACTTGGTTCAACACATGATTATATTTGGATATTAAAACAAGACAAGCGCCACATCCACCTGCAAACCATATAGATTGAACCGTGAAGGAGAAGCTAAAGAAATTTTAGGACCAAAAAGAAATGGCTTTAAACTTAAGAAACGTACGTTTGTGTTCCCGCGCTAGTGCAAATTTACTTTAATCAACCTTCATAAGGGTACGTGTATGTGCGTGCATGTGTGTGTGAACTTAACCTTAAAGTCAACAAATAATTGAAAACAACGAGTAGTGTATCATATTTGTTTAATTTCTTAGAATTAGATTTTCAATGAAAAGAATCATAGCAAAACTTTCAAATATTCCATAAATTGATAGGTGGAAACTCCATCAACAATTTCAAATCATGGCGTGCACACTACAACAAATTAAAAAAATGTGTACGTGTACACAATAAATAAATTGAAACTCCATCAATAATTTCAAATCATAGCATATACATTACTACAGTAAGTGTAAGTGTGCGTCCTCCATTATAAAATGAAGGAGAAAGCTAACCGTATAGTCAACCCATAATTGAAAACAACAAAGGATATCTATTCTGCTTCTTAGAAGCTAAATTAACGTTTAATGAAAAGAAGTATAGTAACTTTCAAATATTTAATTTTTCATAAATAAATAAATAACAATAGAAATTCTGTCAACAATAAGTGTATTTGCATGCATGTGGGTGTTATCTGCGCACATGTGTGCATGTGCATGCACATGTGACATGTGCATGTTTGTGTCATAAAACACGTATGCATTGTGGAAACTGAATATCTTAATTTCATCCAAACAAAGTTAATTGTCACATAATCAATTACAATCAATTACAAAGCTAATTCCAACCACACTAGCCATCAACTCAAGAATTTTGTTCAAAGTCAAGTCAAATAAGTTATAATCATATTATTGTATAACAAAACAACAACAATAATAATTACAATTAAAACTTGACCTCATGAGTTTACAAGCACTAGTTAGTAGTACATCTATGACAATCGAAACATTGAAATCTAAATAAACCAGAGATCATTCTCCACATTCATATCGATCAACAAAGTCTCTAAATTAGCCATTGAAAAATCCAAGGTAATAGGAAAGTTCTATCAATACTAGTGATAGAAGGGATGGCTGGACTACCTTAAGGAAAAGATCAACACTCTTACTATTAAAAGTAATTGACTTTCTTTTTAGATTTCAATGTTGATTGAAATCAACAACTGTCAAAAACTATACGTTAAGTGGCGGCAAATGCTGCCAACAAAAATAAAAAGAAAACGCATTAGAAAATTGATGATAACTTAATATCACCGGTCACTTCAATATCACCGCCAAAGTGTTCCTTCAACACCGATGAATACTGCCATGCCATCCAAATTCTATTTCATAAAACATATAATATTTATAATATTCATTTTGCTTAAAATGAAATATAAATATAATAAATTTAATATTAATAATAGAAAAATACTATAATTATTAATTTAATATTAACATAAAATAAAAATTAAATTTTATCTTTAAATTCTTAATAATATAATATATAATTAATTTAATTTTTATAAAATAGGATTTAATAGAGAATAATATTACACACATACCCACATGAGATTAGAATGAAATAATATTATAGAATATAAATAAATAAGTAAAAAATTAAAGACATTATTGGGTAAATATCAACACACAATCATGTAAACAAGCAGTATGAATAGTTAAAATGAAAATATTTTATATTTTCCTTCATTAAAATTGTTAACAGATTATTTACTATTTATTGTTTTATAATATAGACAAGTGGTATTATCAATTAAACTATCATTTATCATCAAAAATCTTTGAAAATAAAGGCTCATTACTACAATTTAGCATTCCACCAAATTAGATGTGTAGACCAATTGTTCAAATTAGAAATTTGTATGACAAATTCATTGCTTCATAGGTTTTTATCAATATGCTAGCAACTCTACAGAAATAAGCTAATAAGATGTGTGTAGTTACACCAATAATATAATAGTTGAATTTTATGCCTTTTTTTCTATATATATGATATCGCTATATAGATGTATCATTAATTTTAAAGTGCATTCAATAGTAAATAAAGTTGATGAAATAAATAAATTATATCTAATAGGTATATATTCTAAAAATAAAATAGCATTAAAATCAAATATACAGTTAGTCTAAAATATGGAATCACAGAGAAATGTTAATATTAAAATTAGTCAACAGAAAAAAAAACGTTTTTAAACTTTATTGGGATCAAAATAGTGTCATTAATAAAGTACCAATTCAAGCATAAAATATATAAAAACAAAAAATTATTACATTTTTTATCATTTCATCATAAAATTACAATAATACAACAAAATTTTAATAATACACTAAACGAAAAATAAAAAAAAGATTTACTTTTTCGAGTTACCGCTTGTCGTGGCAATTTTACTTTGCCGTCATAGAAACTAAAAACTTAATTTTAGTGGCAATTTTAAAAAGCCATCGCAAAATATTCTCTTTCAGCGATGATTACTTCACCTATCATCGCAAAAAGTCAATCTTTTTGTTATGGCTTTTAATTTTTGAATCTACAGTAAAGACCAACCCCTTAAACTTAATCAACAAGATCTTGATAT